GATGATCAGTATTAGATTTGTGTGCTAGTTTGAGGCCAGATGTGATCATTTCTTTAGTTGGCTTAGATAGCAACATACTTGATGCCGGTTCACTTAAAAAGGATTTTAGAGTTGTTTTGATTTACATAATCATTGTCTTGATGTGTGGAGGATCATATTTACTTGCATGGTGTTGAAATTTTGGGAGATTGCATGGAAATGGTTGAAAAATTGCATACTTGAGGTATTTTTCTCCCAATGCTTGTTTTGTATGTTGGTGCTTCTTAAATGAGAAAGAGCTCAATGTTTACGGGTATCATTTCTGGAAACCCTCACGAGACTTTACTCGTCCACTAGGGTAACCTAAGGGTTTAAAAGGCTTGTTGCATATGCTAAATGCAATCATGCTCCCTACGAAAGTGGCGCTATCATTTCATTGCTTTCTAGTTCATAATTACTTAGTTGTTTAGTTCTTTTTTCTCCTTGTAGTTCATTGCTAGGGACTAGCATTATCTAAGTTTGGGGGTGTGATAAGTAATCAAATGTGACACATTTTAGCACTTAAGCTAGGGTTCTTTAGCCCATTCATCTATCTTACTTTCATGTTTTAGTACTTATTTGTGCTTTTGCCTACTTCAGGTCAATAAGGTTCAAACAGGCTTGGAAGAGCCATTTAGCTCATATTTTGAGTTAAGGAGCAAATCTGGAAAGAAGTCAGAAAATTGCACGAGTGAAGCTTTGATCGATCGAAGGGTTTTCCCGATCGATCAAAGAATGTTACAATCGATCGAAATCAAGGCAATGCCAGGTCAACAATCCAGATAAGGCCAAGAAGATATTTTCATCACACGTCATCTTCGATCAATCGAAGTCTACTTCGATCGATCGAAGTGACTGCTGGCAGTGTGCTGTCTAATTCCCGAGTGTGCCCGGACTTTACCAACTTTGGGAGCTGCGAATTTTCATCAATCAAATGCAGTATTTCTGACTTGTTGCCTACTCAAAGAGGCTTGTGTATAGATTAATTAAGCCAATTTTGTAAAGAAGAGTTCCTCTAGTTGATATTTTACCAACTATAGAAATAGTTTCTCTCTTTAGAACTAGGTTTTGTGAAGAAAACAAGGAGGAAGAAGATGATGTCAACCTTGAAGCTAACCTTTGAGGGTTCTATGGCCACTACAATGAGTGGCTAAATCCTTTTCTTAAGGTTAGAGATGGCCCCTAGGCTTGCTTCCTAAACCTAGCCTTTTGTATATTTTTAGGGATTTTAGTTGTAATTGATGTTTTGACCATGAATTAATATAGATCTTGTGATTTTTACATGATTTGTATGGATTAATGTTTTTAATTGATCATTTAATTCTATCCATATGTCTATGTATGCTAGAATGAATGTTTATGTGTTTTTCTCTAGATTTAATGAAATTGATGCATGTCTATGTGTGTTGATGTTATAAATTTAGTGATGGTCAAGGCATGGTGCTTAATTGATTACTCTTGTGGTTTATTTAATGGTTCATACTTATTTCTTGATGGATTGTTTCACCTCCTTAGTTTCATTAGTTTAATTTTTATGTCATTAGCTTAGTTGTAGTGTAATAGCTTTAATTCCTAGATAGGTGAACAATCCATTCTTGTTGTTTGATGTTCCATACTTATAAGTTCAAGAAGTACATTTCTCTAGATTTTTGTGTGTGCACTAATTATGGTTTAATTGAATGGTTAATGGTCTCATTTGATAGGTTAATCTATACTTATTTTCCATCCATGCTTAGTTTTCAATTGGTGACACACACACATATTTTACAACATGAATTTTTCCATTATTTTACAATTGCTAGTGTTTGGTGAAGTGAAGTGAAGTGAAACTTAGTGGTGAACTCTAGACCCCAAGACCTTTCTCTCATATTACTTTATCTAATTTATAGATTGTCACTCAATTGCATTGTTTTAATTGAACCATTACTTTAATTAATCAAATCAAACCCTATTTGATCATTCGATCTATTAATCCAACATTGATTCCAAAATACCCTGTCTTTCCCTTCGGACGATCCCTACTCACTCTTGTTACGTTAGTAGTTAGTAGTGGTAGTGGCATTTTACAAATTTGAAATTGGCCACATTTCATCACACCTTGTACTTTAGTTATTGACGACGCACACCACGGCACACCCCACAGTGTCTGGTACGTAAAACGAGAAAAAACAAAAATGCCCTTGCGAAAATAAAAAATTCCAAGAAATGGAAAATGGAAAAAACAGAAACATTACAATCTCCCCAACTTAAAAGGATTTCGGCCTCAAGCCATACCTGGGGGAGAAAATAACTTTGGATACTTGGAGCGAACCTTCTGTTCAAGCTCCCAAGTAGCCTCCTCAACTCCGTGGTGCCTCCAAACACTTTTTGTTGTGTGTCAAGTATCTAGACTGGTCCTTCCTCGTAGGAAACATCCTCATCAATGTCCACATCAACCCAACTCAAAATGTGAGACAGATCCGGTTCATACTTCCATAGCATCGACACATGGAAAACATTGTGGACTCTGTCCATTTGTGGTGGCAATGCAAGTCTATAGGCAACCTCTCCTACGTGGTCCAAGATCTCAAAAGGTCCAATGAATTGTGGCGACAACTTACCACTCTTCCCGAACCTCAACAACCGTTTCCGTAGAGAAACCCGAAGAAAAACGTGGTCTCCCACCTCAAAGGATAGCGATCGTCTCCATTTATCCGCATAGCTCTTCTGTCAGCTCTGAGCTACGAGCAACCTCTGCTGATCAACTTAATCTTCTTAGTGGTCTCGAGTACAATGTCGGGTCCTAAGGCGGCTGTCTCGCCTACCTCAGTCTAACAGACTGGAGACCTACAAGGTCTACTATACAACGTCTCAAATGGAGCCATCTGAATACTCGCCTGATAACTGTTGTTATAGGAAAACTCAATAAGTGGAAGGTAGTCCTCCCAACTACTTCCCAAATCAAGAACACATGCTCGAAGCATATCCTCCAAAATCTAGATGGTACGCTCCGACTGGCCATCCGTTTGTGGATGAAATGCCGTACTAAAGTGTAACGATGAACCAAACGCTGCTTGAAGTCCTCCCCAAAACTTCGAAGTGAACTTGGCATCCCTATTTGACACAATAGACACTGGAACTCCATGCAACTTCACAATCTCTTTCACATATAGAACACCAAGTGTCTTTGCGTCATCTGTTGCCTTAATGGGCAAAAAGTGAGCCATCTTGGTTAATCTATCAATGATGACCCATACGGCTTCATTTCCCTTCCGTGACCTTGGAAGACCTATCACAAAATCTATAGAAATCTACTCCCATTTCTACTACGCTACAGGTAATAGTTGCAACAAACCAGTGGGTCTCTGATGCTCGACCTTCACCTGTTGACAGGTAAGGCATCTAGCCACACACTATGCAAAATCCTTCTTCGTTCCATTCCACCAATACTGATATCTCAAATTGTGATACATTTTGGTACCACCTGGATGAATTGCAAAGCGAGAAGTGTGAAACTCCAGTAAAACGTCCTCACGACAAATTGTGGGAACAACCAACAAACCCTTAAACCATAGACCTCCATCTACATGAAAGGTCCAATCCTTCGCTGTCTCACCACTGGAGATCAATGTGTGAATGGCACCCAAATCTGGATCCTATCTCTGTGACTCAATCACTCGTCCGACAAGAGTAGGCTGAGCCACAAGGCTAAACAAGAATGCCGACTCACTGCAAACATCATCGTCAAAGCAACACAATCCCATTTCTGCTAAGTCCTCAAGCATCTTCCATTTCCAAATGGCTAAACTGGCCAAAGTCACTCGAGATTTTTGACTTAAGGCATCAGCTACAACATTCGCCTTGCCCGGATGATACTGCAAGTTAAGGTTATAATCATCTAAAAACTCAACCCATCCCCTCTGTCTATTGTTCAAGTCCTTTTGGGAGAAAAGGTACTTAAGACTCTTGTGATCCAAGAATACCTTGAATCTCTCACCATACAAAATAGTGTCTCCAACACTTCAAGGCAAATACAACTGCCGCTAACTCAAATCATGAGTAGAATAGTTACGCTCATGAGTCTTCAACTGTCGAGACCTATAAGCCACTACTCTACCATCCTGCATTAGCACACAACCCAGACCATCACATGGAGCATCACAATAAATCACATAACCTAAGCCACGCTCGAGTATCACCAACACTGGAGCCATAGTTAACCTTATCTTCAACTCCTAAAAGGATGACTCACAGGCTTCATTCCATGTAAACTTTACCCCCTTTCAGGTTAATCTGGTTATAGGTGCTGCCAAATGGGAAAAATCCTTCACAAATCTCCGATAGTACCCCGCTAGGCCAAGAAAACTCTGGATCTCAAAAACATTCTTGGGATGCTCCCAATTTAAAACTGCTTCTATCTTCGATGGATCCACTAACACTCCACTTTCCGAGACAACATGCCCTAAAAACTTCACCTCTTGTAGTCAAAATTCACACTTCTCATATTTGGCATATAAATGGTATTCCTACAAAATCTACAACACTATACTTAGATGGATCTCGTGCTCCTCTTGAGATCGTGAATACACAAGTATGTCATCCACGAAAACTACCACAAACTAGTCCAGATAATCATGGAAGACACGGTTCATTAGGTCCATGAATGCCGCTGGCGCATTAGTCAAACCAAAGAGCATAACAAGGAACTCATAGTGTCCATACCGTGTACGAAATGCTGTCTTTGGGATATCCTCATCCCTAACCCGCAATTGATAGTAGCCTGACCTCAAGTCAATCTTCAAAAAATAACTGGCTCCCTTCAACTGATCAAACAAATCATCTATCCTTGGTAAAGGATACTTGTTCTTGATGTTGGTATGATTCAACTTCCTGTAATCAATGCACAACCTCAAAGAACCATCTTTCTTCTTAACAAACAAGACTGAGTCTCCCCACGATGATACACTCGGTCGAATGAAACCTTTCATCCTCAAATCATTAAGCTACTTTTTTAATTCTTCTAACTCAATCGGTGCCATATGATACGTTGCCATAGAAATTGGCACGGTATCGGGCATCAAATCAATAGTAAACTCCACCTCTCGATGTGGAGGCAACTCTGTCAAGTCTTCTGGGAAAACATCCAAGAAGTCACGAACAACTGCCAGATAAACCTCTTCCACAACATTATCTTTTTCGGCTAAAAGGCTATCCAAGAAGTAATCACCATGACCTCGTCTACGAATTCTATAAAATGATGAAGTATGGGAATCACTCCGATCTCCCACGAAAAAGAAACAATCTCCCTCGGGATTACAACTATGACTCTTCCTCTGAAACAATCGATCGTAGCACGAAATAAAGCTAACCAATCCATCCCGAGAATGACATCAAAGCTAGTTATCTCAAGGAGGATAAGGTCAAACACAAAAGTTCGTCCAGCTATCACGATAGAACAATCCCTCATAACTCTACTCAATGACACTGAAACTCCAACTGGCGTATCAACACATAATGCCCGATCCATAAAACTGACCTCTAACCCCAATGTAAGTACAAATGATGATGATATGAACGAATAAATTGCAGCAAAGTCAAACAGAACATGGGCCAAAGAACAAAACACTGGAAATATACCTCAGAGAACTGATGGACCAGAAGACGTGTCGACCTGGACAACTGCAAAGACACTTCCTTGTGGTGCATGTGCTTGAGAACTACCAACTTAAACACCTGATTGTTGCACTGACATAGCAAGAGTATCTTTCCTAGCTGGTCATGAACCCTGAGAAGACATGGCAGGCTGTGGTGGTGGTGGTGGTCTGAAGCCTGACTGAGTTGTAGCCGACTGTGATGGCCTCTGCTGTGACCTTCTGCCACTACCGTTGTCTGTTCCTCGATTCGAATAATCCTGAATCATATAGCCTTACCGGCCACACCCAAAACAAGTTCTCGATGCTGCAGAAATTGTAGACAAGTTCATAGGACATTTGGACTTATAATGTCCAGGCTGCTAGCACTGAAAACAAACGACCCCTCTTATCTGACCCAGCTGGTATAAGAGTAGTTGGAGCGGATCGTGCAGACTGCTGCCCCTAAAACTGAAATGAACCACCCCTGTGCTTCTTCCCTGGTTGTCCCTGTTATAATATATTAGAATATATTATTACTATATTGTATAATATATTCTAACCTTATATAGGATTACCATAAATAGGTTTACCTTGTATAGGATTACCATATATATAGTTACCATATACATATATGGTTTACTTGTTCATCACACATAATCCCTCCTATATAAACCCCTCTTGTATACATCAATACAATATACAGAGTTCTCAATTTTATATTTAACATGGTATAATACAATATAGTAATAATGTATTCTAATATATTCTAACAGTCCCTCTGATGACGACTCTGCATTCCTCTTTTGCTTCCACTGTTCCCTTCCTGCATTTCTGTCCTTTGCTTCCGCCTTTAGCATTAATGCTTTTTCCACTGCCTCCGCATAAACTTTGAAATGCTGTGCCGTTATTAATGGCCTCATTTGGTAATGAAGACCAGAGACAAACTTCCGAGTCTTGTCAGCCTTATTTCTCACTGACTCAGGAGCAAAGCGAGAAAGAGAGGTGAACTTGTTCCCATACTCCGTCATTAACATATTGCCCTGTATGAGATCATCAAACTGCTTCCTTAACTCCCACCTCTTGGTAATCCGAAAATACTTTTCATAGAACAGCTCCTTTAACATATCGCAACTCATGTCTTCTACCTTGTGCTGGTTAGTAACTGACTTCCACCAAAGCTTGGTGTCCTTAGAAAATCTATAAGTGGCCAAAGTGATTCTTAACTGGTCATCTGACACATTCATAGAAGTCAAGTGGCTTTCCACTTGGTCAAAATAATCATCCGTTATCGTTAGATATGCACCGCCCTCAAACATTACTGGCATTAGCTTCACAAATCCTGAAATCAACTTGAGAAGTTTTTGCGCTTCCGTCTCCTCTGTCTGAACTACCGGTTGTGGTACTGACTGCGGAAGAGAAGTAATCGTAGCCCTTAAAGCATTCTGCAACAAACGATTCAGTGCCAGTTCGGCCGAACCTTCACCCACTTCAATGGGCGTCTCAACATCGTCCCTTCTAATGGAGACACCTCTCGGGGGAATCAAGTCCCTAAGAAGTGTATCCTCTTCAACTGGCTCCGTGGGATTGGAGCTAGAGCTTTCACTAACATCACCCCTTGTCGGCCTAGAGCCAACTCCCCTTGGTTCCCTTCGCGGTGGCATCGTGCTATAAAACGAGAAAACGGTTCAACAAAAATGACACTAAAGTCCCACCGAGAATGACTCAACACAAAATGATACCATACTAACACTTAACATGCAAGGCTATGCAATAAACACATTAGCATAAACATAAACACATAAGCACGTAAGTAAGTAAATAGTTAAACATAATTTTTCAAATAACAAAATACTTTAGCAAATAGCCACAAAGATATACAAATAACTTCCCACACAACCATATACAGGCCTCTACCCATTGTTCTAAGGGTTTTCGAACCATTGCTCTGATACCAAAATTGTAATGACCCAAGCCCAGGGTCCGAAATAATAACTAGATCATGGGGACAACTTGGTCATTTCACAAGTGATGAGAGAAATATGACTCAAACATGGTCAAATGAATCCATTTTAACCATTTCTTAATATCCTATGAGGTTCTAAAGACTTTGGTTGTGGTTTCCCACAAATACTCCATACAAGGTTTAGGTGTTTTCCCGACACTGTCCTACTAAAATATGAATATCTCCCAGTACAAGTGGAATCTAAAAATGGCATTGGTACCATTAGAAAGTTGACTCAAAATACTTGAAATTGGACTTAAGAATGACCCCATTTGGATTTGAAACGAGGGAGATATGGCCATTCAAAGTTCGGGCTAAGGAAAAGTTCAAAGCAGCAAAAGAGCCAGCTCTCATTTTGATGGAGCAGCCTCTTTTTTTGCTGAGAGAGCCGGCTCTATGTAGAGAATTTTCAGAAATAGCATACTGGACAAAAAAAAAAAAAAAAGCCGGCTCTCAATGAGGGAAAGCCGACTCCCAACCTGGGAGGTTTGAAAATGCTCACTTCTAATGCATCTCAAAACTAAAATTTCCTTCCTCTCAAACCAACATACATAAATGGTAAAAATAAATAATTTGACAAGCTAATTCAAGGAATTCTACTACATGGCGACGTAAAGAAACTTTGATTCATCATACAGTCATCATACATGTCCGATTACAATGTTCATAAACAAAATGACTTTAACTTACATTGTTGAAAAGTTATAAACCCAAAAAAAGATAGAAATCCTAATGAGACCCTAAAAGATGGTGCCGAGGTCTCAAAACCATTTCTATCGGTTGAATAGATACACGATGCCACTTAATACAATTTACAACAAAAAGGGTAATATACACATCAAACACAAAAGAAGTCTACAACTCTTTCAACCCGACTAGGCTTGTGGTTGATTGTCGTCTGCCATTGTTTTTCCGTGTCCTAAAAAATATTAATAATAAAGGGGTGAGCACAATGGCTCAGTAGGAAGTGCCTAAGACATACCTCTTATGACCCCGTGAATCCAAACAATGAATAGGAATAAGGAAAAGCGGGATCATGCCATACCAGGAAAAATACAACACAATTTCAAGGTCATAAATAAACAATGTCGTGCCATGGAATGCAATGCCATGCTATGTCGCTCCCCATTTAAAAATCCCTTCCATTCATCACTTTTCAAACCGTTAACATAACCGATCCCATGGCAACTCTATGGCGGTACGAGAGAAGGATTGGCTACTATCCCTAACCCATGGTAACCCTGTGGCGTCATTTGGGGGCCAGATAACTCAACCACGCTAGGGCAATCTCCCTAGTTCCCTCTAGGTCACATTAACGCCACGGACCCTAGGCAACTTCTAGGCGTCCGAGTTTTCGCAAACTCTTTATCAAAACTTTTCCCCAAAAATCCTTTTTCTTTCCATTTTAAACCAATTTTCCCATTTCTTTGCCCAATGTCATGCATGAATGTATCATGCTTCCCAAATGATATGTTAAGAGAAAATTTTGTACAATACAAGTTAACATCCACCATACACAAGACTTAGAGGAAATTTCAAAAGAAAAGTTATCCACATGCTTCATATTGTAAAACCTAGCAAATTAAACACAATAGGTATAGAAATTTACTACTTAAGCATGCTTTCTCATACAACATCAATTAACACACATAATTATATACTTCATATGCATAATTAAGTTATTCTAAAGTAAAATCAACACAATTTAGCATGTTAGGCAACAAATAACAAGAAATTAACTCACAGAGGTACAAAAATGTATGGATTAGAGACACCAACCTCAAATAAGAGAAAACCCCCAATTTTGTGCCCTAATTTCAAAAATTCAATGTTGGCCAAAATGGTGCTTGGTTCCTATCAACGCGTAAATCACAACAGGCTTTCTGATTTGCCTCAAACGGCATCAACAAATTCCCACAAATGAGGGAGAAATTAAGGCTTGAAATTTGATGAAGAAATAAAAGGCAAAAAAAAAAAAAAAAAAAAAAGAGAGAGAGAGAGAGAGCCTTATGGGGAGAGAGAAAAGGTGAGACCAAATATGGCCTCTTGGCCACTAAACAATGAAGTGGTGGGCCCACCATTTAAAAAAAATCTTTTTAACTTAATTTTTTTCCACCACAAGGTCATATATATATACTCTAATATAATATAACCACACAATAAGATTATGCACAAATAATTATGTATGGTATGCAATGAACCCGAAATAAAATCCCCGTATATAACCATTCCGGTAGCAGGTCCCACCCGGGATCGTCCGATCCGAAAAACAGAAAAATGCCTAAATGGTAACCCTTGCATTTTTAAGAATCCTAAGCTCAAATAAATGCCCTAACTAACTCTCGGACACACCTGGCACACCCCACGGTGTCCGGTACGCAAAACGAGAAAAGAAGAAAATCCCTTGCAAAAAAGAAAATTCCAAGAAATGAAAAATGGCGAAAAACAGAAACATTACAATTATTTATTTCAATAAAGAAAATGATTTATAAAATTATTCATTACAAAGTTGGGATTATGAAATATAGTAATATGATGACATATATATTATATGTATTACATAGAATTATGCGAAACATGTATAAAGTTTTCCCACTATATATTCATATTTAAAATAGAACCACTGAAAGAAATAAATATATTAATAATATTTTTTTTTTCAGCTTTCAAATTGTTGACCATTAAAATAGAACCGTTAACTTGGTGAAGGGAGCTGCTAAAACACTTAGACACACGCGCGCGCGCACACACACACACACATACAAACACATACAGAATCACACTTATTTACCATCTCATTCCTTAATTTGTTTCATTTCATCATCTCTATTATTTATGTTGTGTACTATCCTTCTGACACAGGTCTTCAATGGTTGAATTTAGCAACAATCGAGTACGTCGTAGAGGTGACATGACACACCAAAAATGTTTATGGGGAGAATTGAGTCTCTTGCATGTTTCAAAGGCCAAAGAAAATCCTGGGAGGCGATTCTTCAATTGTGCGGAAAGACGTTGTTCTTTTTTTGTGTGGGTGAATTCACCATCCCCTGTTGAAAACTCAGTTGGTCGTGCAACTACTACTGCTCCAGATGTTGATTTTGTTAATCTATATTTGTCAATTGCAAAAGATTTCTTTCTCTTATTTGTTGCAGGAATGGTCGCCTTTGGATTGACGGTAATTTTACTTCTCCTGACCTTGCTGCGTAAATGAAATCTTATTTGGGAAAACTACTTTTGTACTGGGGTGATATGTTATGCAATTGTTCTTAATGAACATATAATTATATTATCGGATAATATTTTGCATTATATAAATTAAAAAGCTTGTAGTACGGGCACATTTTGGAAGAATGACTAATTATCACAATAATTATGACTAATCTTGCAGTGCCATGAAAGTGCCATCAATGGTAACATATTAACACAAATTGGTTTTTTGTTTTATATTCATGGAATAGATGCCAGCAGGTATAAATCTGTTCGTCTTTTATTCCTATGATTATCATTCAGTTGCAGTAGTAGCTCAGAACGCATTCACATTCGTGTCTTCCTGAAAGATTATGAATATTTTACCAATAAATATAAGTATAAATAAAATTACTTTAAGTATATTGTACCAATAAGTTATGAACAAATTTACTTACATGTTCAAATTCACGGGAAAAATATTCCCCATTCCATATCTCTATAAACCTCATCACATAAACTCCATATGATGAGTTTAAATGAAAATATAAACACAAGTCAAAGAGATTAACTGGATTACCACATATCAGTATTATAGTTGGGTTAGGACTAACCGCCAAGACTGTATAACCTCCGTTTTAGATGAAAGACACATTTAATTATACATACATATGAGTTTGACGGGGTATTGTAGTTGGTATGTTCAAACGATATTTTTTCAAATCTTCATTCAACACAATCCCAGTAAACTCTTTCTATTGTTCAAAGTAAGTTTTTTTAAATATAATGCCAGTAAAAAATCATTATATTAACTGAAATTCAATATACGTACTAACAAATTAACATATAGAATACATTTATTGGGGCCTTTGAACAAATGTAATCCACCGTTTGCTGGGGATGGTTTACCACAAACAAAAACCAATGACCATCTATGCATGAAAGGAAAAATAACTGCACCAAGGTCACTATAAAGTTAATGCTACAAAAACTAAGGTTTAAAAAATTATATCCAATAAATAACATACATATTAACCATCTGCGCTACGTTGACATCTTGTAGAAAACTCATCTCAGAATCCTTCTAGCATTTTTTTTTTTCCTAAATTCCTTCTGGTATTTTTCCCACACTTGTTGTAGGACAGGCCAGCTTCGCCCTTTAGTCTTTAAATTGTTTACTTTGAAATCAAGAATGAACTATACCGCTTTACTGCTAAAGTAGTACTTCTCCCCATCACATCCTTCCTCATTGTTTAGTATATTCCCAAAGAAATTAATCACCTTTAAATAAATACAATTTATTTACATGCATTCAATTTTATACCATTAACAACCATAATTATGTAAGAATAATGTACGAAATTAATTCAACTAACATCATCGGACAACCAGTTTTCATGGAATACAATTTGAATCTGATGTCGACTTATCGTAAGATCATACATGGAAATAATTATTTCACTGAGACAATTAATGACAAGGCGTATAAATTAAGTATTATACTCATAAATTACATCCAAACACATGCATTAATTATTTAAAGGAAACAATATGTAATTCAGAAGATGATCAATGCATTAGAAAACTTACGAATTATCTCCGTCAACCCACACATCTCAACAGCATGTTCTGCTCCTTGGTAAGACGAACCATTTCTTTGTATTTCTTTACAAAGGGAGAGTAAGCATATCGGCAACACATTATTTTCCTCTTCCCCCTTCCAACCTTTACAACTCCTTGAACCTCTACATTTTTTGTTAAGTCAATATGCTCCAGATTTAACTGCGCGTCTCGATAAGTGGCAACAACAGTAGCATTCAACTCATTATTTTCCTCCGCATTTAGCAATATACTATAAGTTGGACTAAAACAACTCTCATTTTTCTCACCCTGCTCTTGCTCATTATTAGACTATTCCTCACTTCTTCCATCACTTTCTTCATCCACATGTTTTTCATGTTCGTAATTGTCAAGTTCACTTTCCTCCTCAGTTGTTTCATCGCCATCAGCGGAATCTCCATCCTCGCATGTTTCATCGCCATCAGCGGAGTCTTCATTCTCGCATGTTTCATCGCCATCAACAAAATCTCCATCCTCGCCTATTTCATCTCCATCAGCGGAGTCTCCATCCTCGCATGTTTCATTGCCATCAGCAAAGTCTCCATCAACTAAATCATCATCGCTTACAAAATCAGCTTGCTCCACACCTGGTTTCTCAACACACTCACTATGGTCATACTTAGCATCTGTATCACTTGGTTGCCCACCCAACCGATCTTTCTTGTTTTTGTTGTCCCTTGAGAGTCTTGTTTTTTTTTTTTTTTTTTTTTGGTATATCCCGCTTCTTGAAAGTAGACAACATATTTGATAGACTCTTTTTTGATTTTATTATATTTAATTTAGCTAATTCTATATCAATTCGGACTTTCCTTATGCAATCCTGCGTAAAATAAGAAAAATTAATTCAAATAACTTTTCAAAACATATCCTATACATAGAGAAAATGCATTTTACAACACAATTACCTCCACATCTGAGTCAGAAAAATGATAATCATCAAATTCTATGTTTAAAGAACGACCTAAACCATCTTCGGCTGGCACATCATTACCACTACTGCTACGTGTCTTCGGCTTCAGAGGGATCAATTATTTTCATTCCATATTTAAATAACATTAGTCTATCATCAAATTATAATATATATGTATATATATAACTATTTTCAACAATACAAAATACTATTAATAAATACACCTGTCCATACATAACAAAAACAATTACCTGTCTGTGTCTAAAACCTCCATTACATATCTCCCATCTGATGCGTGATCGTACAACCTCTAATGTCCATGAACCAATGCTTTTCATATCTCCCTCGGGATAAGCTCGGTATTGCGTATCACAACGCATCAAATAAAGCAGCTGACTTCAAATAGCAATAATTAAATTAAATATTACTTCTGTTAAATAATATTAATATGTAATTCACACATTTTAAAGGGAAATCTATAAAAATAAAAACCAAGGATACCTGCAAAAAAATTGTACAACCACCGTATGACTTTTTCAGCTAGTTTCAGGATTCTCACCAAACTATCACGGACACATCTGCACCAGTTGTAACTACTAATTGCATTCACATCATCCACAGTTTTCAACAAGTCCCGGTGACAATTATTTTAACCGGTGGGACTTAGTACAGTATAACAAGCTAAGAGGACAAACGCTCGCTTGAATTCATCAACTTCATTTAGCTTTAACACCTGCTCTAACAAAACATCTTGGTGCATTCCTCCAACTGTTGTAACCAGCTTCATCTATCCACTCAGCATAAAAAAAAGTAATTATTTGTGGGCACTTTTGGAACACCAAATGGTATGCCAAAAATGAAGTGGATATCAGTTAAATGCATGGGTATATAGCTTATGTCCTCAACTTTTATACAACATTTTTCAGAGTCAAATTTTTTTATTAAATACATACATAAGTTCTTAGGACAAATAAGAACATTTAAGGTTCAACAATTTTCCAAACTCAAGCTCCTTAGTAGCTTTTATCTTTTCCTCGTCAAGCTATGACATTACTTCAAGGAACTTGGAAAGAGAGCATCTGTGCTAGGCACCTTTGCTTGGATTTATCTTTTCCTTTTTTTTCTTCTTCAAAGGCATATGATTATAACACATCATGCATACATTATGGGTTAGATCATCAAATAAAATATTTACATTAAAATTTAATTACTCTTTTTTTTTGGAGCCTTTCTTTCTTTAGGAAGGTTGTCGTACTATTCCTTTAGTCTTGTTCGCTCCCTAATCCATGGCTCCTTCTCAGCAACAGACATTGCATTTCATGTCAGTCTAGCATTTTTGTGCACTAAATGCATTACTGGCTTTGGTAACCTGCCAGGTTTTTTGTGCTCTTTTCGGTAGTTTCTTATAAAGTCACACCTTCATTTCATAACAAATAAATACCTTTTTAATGATTCAATAACTATCTAATGCATATTGCATCAACATATTTTTCTAACAATAAATAAGAATGACAATAAATTAATAAGAACAAATAATATATTATTATCACAACTTATTTAAACAACTATCATGTATGAGTTGTATATTGCATCAACATATTTTCTTAACACGTTAAAAAAATTATCTTCCGTAACTTTATTTCTCAATTTCTAAATTAATAATAAGAACCACAAATACTTTGAACATATATGTAGGAAGATTTGCATATTCCATCACCTACTTTTTCTAACAACATACAATACAAAAGTTGGACAGATCAAATTATTATTATTATTACAACTTATTTAAATATGTATCATGTATGAATTGCATATTGCATCAACATTTTTTCCTAACACATTAAAAAAATTAACTTCCATAACTCAATTTCACAATTCCAAACCCTAAAATCTATATAATTAGTTAATTCTTTCAAAACCCTAAAATCTCAAATAAATTTATATTTGGATATTGAACTATACCGAAATAAATTAATTTATAAACCATAATCAATGTTTACCTATACATAAAGAACACTGTGGGAGGTGGGTTCACCAAATTCTGCTCACCACCTGAAACACCAACACTAATATGTTCTTCCTCGTTATCGATTTCTATTCTTGCATCATTGCAAGATATTGGCTTCTTAGGTACCGAATGTTTTTTCATTTTCTTCTTCACTATAGATTTTATCCTAGTCATCAAATTTTGAAATTTCCCAAATTTGAAATTTCGTAAATGTATAAAACCCTTCTAAAACCAGAGCAAGAGACGAGATACTAGTTTCAAGAACCAAAGCAAACAACTTTCACCTTTTGAAAATAACCATATACTAGATTGGAAGGAGGAAGAATGGTCGACGAAGTCGAGGAGACAAAGACGAAGAGGAGAGGAGAGGAGAAAGATTTCTAATTTTACTAAAAAGGTAAAGGCATAAAATAATTTTGTATATAATATAATGGAATAAAATAATTTTGTATATAATATATTGTTATATATATAATGTATAAATGTATTTTGTATGGGGTATTAGCTAAGTCACATAATGCGGGAGCGGGAGAGAGAGCGAGAGTGCAAAATCGGCAAAGTCTAAAATTAGTTGAGAGGGGGAGCGTCTTGAGACCACCTGTATATAATAAATTTTATGTTATATATATATATATATATAGAATTTATTTTAAATCCAAGTGATGTTAGAACTTATAAAATGCCCACGTAAAAGGCTTAGACCCACCCATCTATCCATGTTAGAACTTATAAATGGCCCAGACCCACCCATCTATCCCAGCCCAACATCTTAACAGTTTCATTCGTTTGAAAGAAAAATAAAACTCAGCCCATTACCATTTTAAAAGACCCAAGCCCATATTTTGTTAAGTATAACCCTACTTTTTTTGCATTTGCATTAGGGGTGCAACTTGGGTTGGGTAACCCGAACCTAATCCAAGCCCAACTCGATTTTTCACGGGTTTGGACAATCATTTTTATAATTAGGGTTGGGCTTAAGTTGAAAATTTTCAACCCGAATTTAATTAAGGTTGAGCTTAGGTTAATGTGCTAGCAACCCGAGCCAACCCGAACCCGAACCCGAATTCTAATGTAATTTTCATATATATTTTTACTTTTAAATATATTATATATAATATTTAAACTATAATTAATTTATCTTTTTTCAACTTCTTTTGTTAAATCTTAACTTATTGTATATTAACATTTAAGGGAATTAATTTTAAAAAAATTTGTTTGTAATTTATTAAAAATCTACAAAAAGTCTCTAAACTTTTTCTTGTTTAAGAGTAATTTAATTTAAAACTAAATCAAAATCATATTAAATTTTCGATGTAAAGATTAGCCATATGAGTAACCCAAAATTTTTACTCGGAATCTATGCCTGAGTTGCAAGCCCGAATTTAAAAGTAGAAGGATGGATTGGACTTGGGTTGAGTAGTTAAGGTTGAGGATATAGTTAGGGTTGGGCTTGGGTTTAGCATTTCATATGGTGGGTTGGACTCAAGTTATACCTCAAACCCGCCCAACCCGCCCGAGTTGCAGCCCTAATTTGCATCATCAAGATCAGCAACCAAGTTACCAGCAGCAGAGCTCTTTATGCCTAGAAGTTATCTCGATGTGCAAAATCACAACCTACAGCAACATCTTAAAAGATTCATTGTCCATTGAAGGAGATCTCGTCGAAAGATTAGGCTTCATCTTTGGAGATAGAAGTGATTATAGCTAGTGCTTTTTTATTTCATCTTCAAATCTGCGAACACACATATAGATGCATATATCTCTTTAGTCTTCATCTTTTTTCTTCTTCTTTACAAAAAAATAAAAGACAAAGTGTATTCCACCTGAGTTATAGCCCTAATGTGCCATGTCTTCCGGTGAGTCAAAATGTATTCAGGCAAAAGACCGAATTCACCAATGGTCAGTGGCCTAGCGGCATCAGGCCCCTATTTCCTAAAAGGAGTTCAGGGGTTCAAGTCTTAATAAAGACATATGTGTGTGAGTACTAACTTAAAAAAAAAAAAAAAAAAAAAAAAAAAAAAAAAAAAAAAAAAAAAAAAAAAAAGACCGAATTCTAAAAGTGAGTTCGCGAATTTGAAAATCAAGTTCGCAAACTTAAAAAACTGAGTTCGCGAATTTGGGGCGAATCTGCTCCCAAAACGTCGATCCGCGTGCAGAGCTCTGGAGCAGCAGTCCTCCACGCAAATTATGTGACTTACAGTATAAGTAGATGTTGTAAAAGAAAGAGTACATAAGTAACTTTGTTGACTAAGTTGCTGACTGGACGCTGAGTCGAAACTGATTAAGCGCTAACGTGGCAAATGGGCTGAGGTGGATTCATCTTAGCCGTTAGATCCTTACTGGACGAAGTCTAGGGAGAGGCGCACTGGAGCGGATTACGGACCCTCTTTTATTTCTCCTCCATTTCTCTCTCCTGCTCAAAACTCCTTTTTTTTTTTTTTTTAAATATATGTAATCAATATTGTTGAGTAAGTTATATAGTGACTTTTCCCAAAATAAATAAAAAATAAAAAATTGTAACTCCTGAAATCAAAAAATTAATTAATATTGTTGATTAAGTTATATAGTGATTTTTCCCAAATAATAATAATAATAATAATAATAATAAAAATTGTAATGCTTGAAATAAAAAATTTAATACTAGAACAAATTATTATTATTATTATTATTGCCATGGATGGCAGGAAAGTAAAAATTTTGCAAAAAGTGAAAAAAAATAAAAAAAGGAAAAGAAATGAAAAAGAAAAAGAAGAGAGCTTGGAATGTGTTAGCCCGTTTTAACCAGTCCATTTGAACCCTTACCCATTTATGACCCACAGGTTGAGAATGGATTACTGACTCATTGACACCCAACCCATTCCAAATCCTTTCTAACCCATTTTCTCCTTTGGGTAAACAATTTTTTTACCCATGAGCCAAACTAAAGCAAAACTAGATTCCTGGAAGGGTGTATAGCAATTTTCACTATATCTTGAGAAGTTTATGAAAGTAACATTGAATTTTGATACAATTTTAAAAATCACACGTTCAAAGCAGATATCTAGCCATGGATGCACTACACTATCATACAATACAACATTGATTGATACAGTTTAAAAAGCAACAAAGGTTATCTTCTTTGAGCTGCTACTTCACATATTTCAGTTGACTTCTGCTCCTGCAAAAAATGTCGTCTTCAGTCTTCACATAAATTGGTGCACAAACAACTGCACTAACAAAAGAATATTATATATGGTATGTATTTACAAAAGGTTTGGATATATTTTACGTTATGATGCTATACAGTGACGTTAATGTTTTCAACGATGATTTTAACCAAAGTCAAAAGGACTACCAATAAAGGCATTTATAAAAAATAACCAATAATATCCAGAACATTAAATAGATGAATGGTATTTCATCATCAAAGGCTGCATCCACAGTCCCCTCTCTCTCGCGTTTTGATGCAGCCCTATGGACTGTGGAATTAGCAACTTCAAAAATAGATGCATATAGCTTTGTATTGGATGAATATAGGATAGAAGATCCAAAATAATATCAGTCCGATGAATAAAGGATAGAAGATCCAAAATAATATCAGTCCACCTCTTCTTTTTTTCCTTTTTTCTTTTTTTTTTTTTTTCAATTTTTTTTCCTTTTTTTCCCAGAACTGTTTCGACTGGAAAGCTGAGCTTATCAATCCCCACACGGGACAAAGTATACACAGAGTAATACATATCTTTGTTTTTGTTTTACTACACGCAAAACTATATTGCATTTCAGAGAATTCGGTTAACTACAAGGTCTTCTAAACAAATTGCAGTTCACAACTAGAAATGTCCAGAGTCGTAATATTGATAGTAATAATAACAACAGAAGAAGCCACAACAATAATAATAATGTCTAGCTCACACTAAATGATCAGCAATAATACGAGAAACAACCTTGGGTTGAGCAGAATTCCCAGTTGTTATCAGTTCAAATGAGGGGCACGGAAAGAAGAGTCACCTAATTCCACTGCATAACCACCGGTTTTCATTTACAAACTTACAGTACTTTTCTTCCCCATAAAGGTGCCTGAAAGATAAAATAGAAAACATTTTCCAGATAAACTGGGAGAGAGAGAGATAACAACCATGAAATATGATGTTACAAAATGAGGAACGACATAATAAATTAAGCGATTCTAACTAGATCCAGCGGACAAGTGTCGGTGCAACTACAGACAGTTAAATGCTTACATTTCCATTATACATACAATCATGCATCATGCGACTCACAAGCTGACTTTGAAAATCCAAACCACAAAAATTAGAAGAAATGTACACTCCATGTGATTGCCATGACATGATAGAGAAGTGTTGAGACACAATATCATCCAACAGGTTAGGGTTGGCCTGTGGCATGGTTCCAAATATTCTAAATTACAACTAGATCCTGCATGCAAAAGGGTTGGTGAAATTACAGAGAGCAAAACACATTTTCAATATAGCAAGCCTATAATGAGGTCAACCTCACAGTTCTTGTTATGAGCTCTCCTTTGAATTATCACATTTTGAGCATATTATGGTTGAACATATACTGGCCTAATGCCTTCATTAGAATGAGGACGCATGGAGGTCGACCTCCATTTGATTTTCAAGACAGTATAGAAAAGAAATGAAACATAATATCTTATAATATATTAGGGGAAAGCGGAACTCCAATACATGAGTCTATCAAAATGAGCAAGTACTACAATGAGGACACATTTATATGCTCATAGCTACTCAATTATATCCTTCCATGACAATTACCAATTTGAACAGAAGTTCTTTTTTATTCCAACTAAATTCCTTCCTCTCTTTTTTCGTCATTAATTGGTGAGTGCATACAAGAGAGAGAGAGAGATTTGTACAATCAAGGCCTAGACCAAGCAAGCACCAGAAAGTGGAATTCCAATACACAAGTCTTTTAAAATGCATTAGTATTACCATGAAGAACTAAGATGCTTGTGAGATGTTATAGATTTCAGTGATCCAAATAAACAATCTAAGGAAGAAAAGAAGTAAAGAACTTGGAAATTAAGCTATTTTATAAAGATGAAAACAACAGCAGCTACTAAAACTAGGTGACTAACCTAAAACTTACATATGTAAGATGTTCTAAGCCACAAGAAGAGGACCAATAAAAAATTAAAACTTACGCTAGATCAGCCAAGGTTTCTGATTTAATCACAGCTTTTCCCTCCGGGAGTTCAAGGCAAGAATAGTGCATTATCATTTCCTTCAAGGTGTGTTTTGTACTTTTAACATCATTGTCCCATAAGATGCTCTGGAATCAGAAGCGCAAAATCTGGTTAGCCCTATAACTCCCATTTAAGAAATTAAAGCAAACTTGATATTTAACGAATTACAAATAATAAAAATCAGGGTGACATTTTTCTTTTATTGAGAAACGGAATGAGAAATTTCCAATCCCATAAAAGTTCTAGACATGAAGGACATACAGAAGAGGTATCTAGTCAGCACAGACCAAATACCTTCCTGACATACTCTCTTTTCACATCTTCCCAGGGCACTTTGCCATGGGGAGAGAAAACTGAAACATTCCAAAGAGCTCCTCGCGCAGCCATAACCGATGAGGCACCTGTAAGAGAAAATAGTTTTACCCAAAATAAAAAATAGACACACAGAATTACTAGGGATGAATGTATTGGCCGCTGAACATCATCCATGAGCTTAAGAAATATATCGGACATAATGAGGGAGAGAGTGAGAGACAGAAATGATAACAAGCATGCTGCATCATTTTGCAAACGCCCAAATGGAAACCACAGGAAAAATAACAACAACAATAATAATAATAATCCATATTAATTCTCTGAAGGAGAGAGAATTTTTTAGATCACTCCTTCAACACCATGTTAATATCCACAAAGTTCACTACAATCAAGCCTTAAATTATCAAAGGAATTCAACCTCATTTAAATAAAAACAAAAAACAAAAAGCCTTGAATTAAAAACCCACCCTCCAACACCATTTTAGACGAGAGAACCACAAAAGCTAATATATTTTATAAACAATTGGAAGTTACACTGTCAGGAAAGTGGTGGCGGCAAAAAACTCCACATTATATTATCAAATTTAAGTAAGCATTATATTTCCCCATTAAATATGACAGGCTGCAGAGCAGAGGCACTGCACTGGTATGTTCTTATTAACTTGCAGTCTTAACAAAGACGTGTTGAAGGATTTAAATATTACACCCTCTCTAACAGCTTAAGATTTTAGAGTAGATGGTAGTTAACATGGTATCAGAGCAGGTAAGGTCTTGTGTTAAAACCTCGTCGTCACCCTGATAATTAAAATTGAAACACGTGTTTGGACCAAAAGAAGGCCACACGTGAGGGGGCGTGTTAAAGAATTTAAATATTTTAATTTTACACCGTCTCTAACAGCTTAAGCTTTTTAGAGTAGATGGTAGTTAACAAGACATTGGCAATCTATCAAAGCTAAAAGTTTCCCTTAACAAATTGTTTGACTTCCTTTGAAGAAAGATGTCTGCCTAAGAAATAGTAGTTCTATAGACTGGAAAGAATGAAAGAGGACCTTGCTTTAATGTACTAGTAGGATGACATTGTCGTACAAAGTACATGCTCTTGACAAGAAAATGTGTCTTATTTGTAAAATAAAAAACAAACAACTTACCAATTGCAGCTTTTACAAGTTATATGAAAATCATCTAAAGTACCACAAACCCAAGAAACATCATTTATAATATTGATAAGAGATTTATCACCTACCTGTAGCAACTTTAATGCGTTGAAAATCTTCATACTCAAAGACATCACCATTTGCAATTACGGGAATAGAGAGTGCTGCTACAACATCAGCAATCTCACTCCACTTAGCAGGATCCCTCGGCCTATCAGCAACTCTTCTGCAATTTACTCAACAAAAAAGGGGCAACATTTCCTAAGATAAAAGACTTGAAAACATTCCAAACTCCAGGACCCTCAAAACTGAAAGAACATGACGGCATAAAAAATGATCACATAGAAGAAAATTTTCAAAACCAACCCCATAAATGTGATATAAAATCCCGAAAGGCATCCGTTTCACCAGGGGCATCCATCATAAGAAACCCAAGTGATTTTTGTGCACACTTGGCCACTCAACTTTCCACTGCAATTTTTGAACTTCCATCTGTTGGTCCCATCTTTGAATTAGGGTTTTCCCTTTGTAAATGTCAAAAAGCTGTCACAGGTCCATTTCAGTGTGCTTCAAGTGTTTCTGGAGTGCTTAGTGCATTACAGGGTTATACAGCGGTAGTATGGTCATTGTACATTCCTGAGATAACATTTCATATAGCTTAAGGAGGGTATATTGTGTTGACAATTCAGTTTACAGGCCTTTAGGGATACAGTCTCAGGTTCAACATGTGTTATTTGGCTACAGAGTCAAATAGGGCATTTGAGTCTTTTCACACATGTATTATATCATTTTACACTTGTCTCGGATACTGCATTGTATTGAATTGCACAAAATCTCAATTTGATTAAGTATACACAGCTGCAACAATAGTTTTCTGAATATAGTGACAAGTGTCCATTCCAGGGGTATTTTGGTCAATGCAAATACTGAGCATTTGTGAGACACATGTCCTATGGTCCTAGTATGAGAAAATGAGGATTGTTATGCATTAAATAGTGGTTAAGCTTGATATATATTGCTGGTGTATACATATATACAAGCTGTCAAATAGCATGCTCACTAGTGGACAAAATTGTGAGCTGTACCAAGGGCATTGTGGTCCTTTCACTGAGGGAATGTCAGAATATTCTCTGGTCAATGATTGGTAAGTGATGCCATGTGGATTTCCTTTTTAGGGTAGGACTACATTCCAATTGTCACCTATATATATGTTGTTATATCAATGAGCCTCCTAAGCCTCTTGAGCACCCTTGTGAGCATCCTTAGAGCTGCAATGTGACGTACGCTCGAGACCAAGAATAATGAGCATAATTTGAGTTTTAAGAACAATTTGTGAGCTAATTCATCTCAAAGATTATATGGTGTGTGTATAAATTTCAAAGAAGATGGTCACTGTGGATTTGCTGGTTTGCTGCTGCTGAGAGTTGGTTCAGAGGTTCAATCCAGGCTTGAGTCCACTTCAGAGGTTTCCAAAGGTTGAGGCAAGTTTGTTTTACCATGTCACAGGGGTCAATTTTTCGCAGCAAAATCCTCACCCTATGATGGCACTAAGCCAGAAATAAAACACCTTCGAATTCTGACTTAGTCAACCACTCAACACATGCACAACATATAAATATAAGGCACAAGGGACAGCATTTACAGAGGCTAAAGCCTCCAACCTTCACTATTATTCATGAAATAGTACAAGGATCCTCAATTTCTGACACAAGCTCACAAAGTGCATCACTCAATGCCTGTGACAGACCCCTTCATTACAATATATAAAGAAACCTCTACAAAACTGCCTACAACTGCAACAAAGGTAGTGGAGACACCCCCCTCCGCTATAGAATATAGCTGACACACTCCAGCCCTGCCACATTGCAAGGAAGTTACATAGCACACCAAAATCTTCAACACCTATCCATTGTCTTCAGAAATGGGAGGAACTGCTCTAAAATTCTGTGTGCTGGCAAGCCCAGACTGTGCCATGTTGCAACCCACTTCTCCCACTAAATCATGTATGCACAAGTGGTGGGAAGTGGCAAGCAACTTATATGAACCATCTAGCCCAACTGGTGAACCAAGCCACGCTCACAAGTCTGATGACCCCTTGCTTGCAATGTTAGCCATGACCAAGCCTAGCCTACGCCTTGGTCTGTTGGGGCATAGCGCTGAGCCATTCCCACACCTTGAGTCCGTCTAAGCCATAACCTTGCCCATAGGCAAGTTAGCACAATCCAAGGACCCATATGTGATGGTCTGCTGAACCATGCACAGAGCTTGCTGATGCAAGCACGTGCGCGCACGTGGGCATGGCGCACACCTTTTGGGTACACCCACATCATGCCCACTAACATGCGCGCCATGCCTACGCTGCCCGTTCCTGGCGTCTCTGGCGCACTACCGGATGTCCTCTTTGTGCCACCACCTTGAGGTGGTGCATGCCATGCCTAAGCACGTTGGCTAAGCACCCAACACTTGCTCCATGCACAGCAAGCCATTGTCATGCTGAATGGTAAGAATGCTGGGGAGGGGCTTCAACTCCATAGCCCTCACTTGTTATGTAAAAGGGCAAATCAGAACTCTGCCAGGAGTAGACATACCTTATATCCGAGGAGGCATAATAGGCAAATAAAATTCTCTGGACCTCCAAATTGAAATCCGTCTTCACCAGTAGACTTCTAAGACTTCAAGGAAGCTCTCATAATTTTCCCATTACCAAACTCCAAACTTCATTTTTCGACATATTTACAAAAATGCCACTGCCGCATGCAGTGTGCGCCTGACAGCCATTTGTACCCCGCTGTCAAAGGCCTTGTGAGGACACCTCCTGACTTAGGCCCTATGTGGGGCGAAGTCTCAACCCTGTTACAAACCTCCCCCACTGGAGGAGCCTGATGCCCTCGTCGGCTATTAATCCAAATACTCCTTAACCTGTTTTTCAAATTGCCACAATGTAACATCACGTTCCCAGCTAGCATTTGCTTTGTTGCACCCCTTCCACTGTACCAAAAAGTCAGTTCTTTTTACTCTGCCCTTGAGTTATGTGATAAAGGATCTTTTCAACCTCTTTATCGAACTGTTTCTGATAACCAAGGGAGCTCACTTAGTCTGTTGTCTACTTTCATCAGCAGAATCCTTATGAAATGGATTGAGGAACACATGAAACGTAGGGTGGATCTTGAGGCGATCAGGGAGCCTCAAACGATAAGCAACATTGCCTACCCGTTTCACCACTTCGAAGGGACCATCATACCTTGGAATCACCACTTAGTCTGTTTTGCTACTAATCTTCTTCCATTTCTGGAGCGTAAGCTTCAACAAAACTTTGTCACCAGCACCAAATTCTAAAGGCCTTCGATGCTAGTCTACATACTTCTTCATGTGCCAGCCAGCCTTGGCTAAGCTGTCCTGCACCTCATCAAACATCTCTATTCTGGACCTTGCAAACCTATAAGGGACACTTACCGCCTATCTGCTGCACAACCACAAGAGGTGGTATCCTTGGTTTTTTCCCAGTAGCTAACTCAAAACGGCGTATACCTGTTGCTGATTAACGATGCGGGTTGTAGCAAAATTGAGCCGTGTCAAGCAACTCAACCTAGTTATTTTGAGAAGCAGTCACATAATGCCTTAGGTACTCCTCCATCGACTGATTCATATTAGTTTGTGGATGTTTAGCTGTGGAGAACTTCAACTCAGATCCTATGAAGTTGAAGTGTGTCGTCCAAAACCGGCCTATGAACCGTGCATCACGATCACTGATTATGTCCTCAAGTAAGCCAAAATGTTTCATCACATGTTTAAAGAACTCTGCTGCAGCGCTAGCGGAGCAAGCATGTGGTGCTGCAATAAACACTAAATATTTCGAAAATCTATCAACTATAACAAAAATGAAACGCATTCCATCTACCTTTGGGAGACCAGAAGCAAAGATCACGGAAACTGAGTGTCATGGTCCGTTTAGAATGGGTAGGGGTTGCAACAATCATGCCTCTCTCTTCCTTTCCACCTTGTCAAGTTGGTATACCAGGCAAGTCTTGACATATGCCTCAATGTCATCTTCCATCTTTGGCTAGTAGTAACTCCGTGAAATTAGAGCATGCATCCTTTCTATACCTAGATGTCCTGCCTAACGAGTGTCATACATCTCCCTCATCAATTCTTTTCGAAGTCCCCCACCGCTAGGGTCATAGACTCTACCGCCTCTAGCATAGATTAAGTTAACTTCTATCCAATATCTGCATACTAAGCCATCCCTAATCTGCTGCTGGAGCTTGAATGCTTGATATAGGCAGCATCTCCTGTAATTTCCTACTTAATCCATGAAAGGAAGTCTGTGTGCACAGTGGTGAGTGCAGCCACATACTCTTGCACCTTTTTCCTGCTTAGGGCATCTGCAACCTGGTTCTGCTTTCTTGGTCTATACACCCAAACAAATTCAAACTCTGCTAGGAACTCTTGCCATCGTGCTTGCTTTGGGGACAACTTCTTCTGTGTTTTGAAGTAAGTATTAGCAACGTTGTCTATCACCACAACAAATTTCATACCCAACAGACAATGCCTCCGGGCATCAAGACAATGAATCACCACTGTCATTTCTTTCTCATGAGTAGAGTATCCCTGCTCTACATCTTTAAGCTTCCGGATTTCAAATGCACAAGGGTTTCCCTCCTGGACCAGCACCCCACAAATGGACCTGTTAGAAGCATCTGTGTGAACTTCAAAGGGAAAGCTGAAGTCTGGGAGCCTTAGCACAGGCTCAGATGCAATGGCTTGCTTCACCTTCTCAAAGGCTTTCTCACAATCCTTTGTCCAACACCACTTCTGGTCCTTCTTCAGCAAGTCAGTTAAGGGGTTCACCTTCTTGGAGTAGCCCTTAATGAACCTATGATAATAGTTAGCAACGCCAAGAAATGAATGCAGCTCTGTCACTTTGGTTGAAATTGTCCAGTCTAAAATGGCTTTAACCTTCCGTTCATCCATCCGAATGGTGCCCTTGCTAACCCAATAGCCAAAAAACATGATATCATTGCGACAAAACTCACATTTCTCCTTCTTTACATAGAGTTGTCGCTCTCTGCGCAGTGAGAACACCCACCTTAGATGCTTCAAGTGGACCTCCAAACTATCACTGTAAACCACAATATCATCTAGGTACACCACAATAAACTGATTAATAAACTCATAGAATACATCATTCATCAAATTGCAGAAAGTAGCCGGGGCGTTTGTAAGCCC